GTAGACCTAGAAAAAAAGACACCCCAGTAACAAACAAGCACACCAAGCACCCAGATATTGGTTTCTAATACCATTAGAACAAAAGGAACCAGGTTGATTTTAGGACAGATGAGTCTAGAGTATCTTTCAAAGTTGCAAAAAGTAAGAAAATGCTCAGCACACACACACACAGAAAGGGAAACAAGCACCAACTGAAAGAGCTCCCATAGCTAAAGTTGGGACAAACTGAGCAACAATATAAATAAGCCAAAGTGTAAAATAAGCCAAATTACATACCAAAGTACTAAATATTAGCCAAAGTACAAAATAAATAGCCATGAGTCTATACTGATAAATGCAAGTGACTGAATAAATTCATATATAGGGGAGAGCAGACAAATAAAATATATAATTTATATTTATATAATAAAAAATAATATAGGTTTGTAATGAACTCCAATACAGAATTGTATAAAGTGAAAATTTTAAGTTTTCACCCTGCTTCCTTGTGTTCTTCAATTCCACTCTGTAGAAATAACCACTGTTAACAGTTTATTGGATATCTTGCCAGGCCTTTTTCCATGGCAATCTTTTCTAATACATTGATTATGCTGAATTTCAACACATAGAATCCACTTAATCTTCTGTATTTCATTCTTTATTTCTTTATGAATTTCAGTCTCAGCACCAATCATAGTACCTGGCATATAATAAGTGCTCATTAAATGCCAGGAGTTAGCTACTTTCCCAGCAGAACAGGCCCCAAGGCAGGATCATTGCAAGGGATTTGGAAATAATAGGAAATAAAGAAATAATATAGACGGAGAAATGATTGAGACAGAGACAAAGTGCAGTTTAAAAGACGGGGGAGTTAGGTCCTCTAGCATTCCCATGAGCTGTGAGGCCCTGACTGAAATCCCACATCAGTATTTATTGTTACAGTAAATAGTTGTCTTTTTTTAGAGAATTATATGTACAGCTAATTTTTTTGAGATTTCTAGAGGAACCTTACCTAATTCTGTCTACAAGAGTAGACGGTTACAAAATTTTTCTAAGATAAGCATGTTAAGCCCTAAGT